GGCACTTAAGATCACCAGACACAGAAACGTGTGAAACGTCTGTGCCCATCCCGATCGAAATTTTAATTGCTTACAATTAAAACAATACTTTTAAATTATTAAATTAAACTAATAATTTTAATAATAATAATAGAAGTTTTTAACCGTGTGTGGCTGTAGGACAATTTTACTAATATATTTCCCGCTGTAAAATGTTTTTGTCTAATACAATAGAAATTAAATAGAGATTATTAAATAAAAACACTATGACAGTTCAAAAGAAGTGTAAATTTTTACGCAAATTAATAATAAACAAAAAATTTTATATACAATCCAAAAACGTGTTTTAGGATATTTTCGCTGAAGACTTGTACGTAAAACTTGTATGACAAAAAAACAAAGTACGTAAGCTCCTATGACATATAACCAACATTACATCGATCTCAACCGTATTTTCTCATAATGTCGACATGTATCCATTTGACCCCAGACCCCGGTCAGTCTTAAATTCAGAAATATGCGCCCAGACTTATCCCGCACTCCATTAGGATCTGATTTATGGTACATAACTAAAAGGGTCTCAGGGTTACCAGAAACCTGGATTAACCATGTCGGGTGGGAGATCGGGGATAAAAGACCCGGTGATGTCTGTAGTCTACGACAGTGCACATTTAAAAATTGTACGAATTGTATTACTTAATATAAATTTCCACGGCATCCACGGCGTTTCGTGCTGTTGTTCTAACCAATTGAGCTACCCCAAGTCTTGCGCGTGACGTAATATTGATCAATCTAAAATCCATTTTAAATTTCCGATATTTTAAACGAATTGTATTAGTTAACTTATTTATAATTTATTTTAAATGTGGCCCAATGTTTCGGATGCTTTGCAGCAGTCGTGGTCACGGGAGGACGGAAGGTCCCTAATTTCAAGTCAATCTGCGTTATGATATGACGGCGCTAGTGTGTACAAATTTTAACTCAAACGATGTTATAATTGCTCGGTGGAATGAATTACCTGGATTACGCTACTAACTTAGGAAACGTTCTTAGAAAATTTTTTTTTTAGGTTTTTGTAATATTCTTAAGGATAAACATATATACTTTGCAAGAAGATAATTATTTTAAATAAAACACTTTACGTTTTAAAACGCATATTTAGTTAAAATTCTTTGAAAATTATTTTTAACTTCGGCCCAACGTTTCGAATGCTTTGCAACAGCCGGGACCACGACACGTTAAAGTGTTTTATTTAAATATGTCTACCTTTTTAGATTAACTTGCAAAAACGACGGAAAGGGACGAGACCAACGTCGTTGGGTTACAGCTTAAGTTTATAATATTTTAACACAAAAATAATTTTTAAGTTCTCGAGATTAGCGCGTTCAAACAAACAAACTCTTCATCTTAATATATTAGTATAGATGTTAAAATGTAAAAAAGTATCAACTTTATATCAACGTTATAATAATAACATGAGATAGATGCCACATTTTATTATTATATGCGATATAATATATATGTAAATAGTAAAACTACCCTCAACTTAAAAAATAAGTTCGATGTATATTAATAAGAAGATTTTCATATGAAATATGATTTGCCTTGATCGCGTAAGTACCGTATAGAGCCTCTCAATAGTGTATCGATTTTGCATTAGTCCCTTTTTATAGGAGACGTGACTTCCTCATGCAAGGAGCCTTTGTGTGTTTCCAGGCTCTTAGACTTTCTACATGAACGATATAACTTATATGCCTTTACCTGTGCAATAAAACCTCTAATGCACTAATGCATTTTATTTTTTCCATTAATCTATTTTTACACTTTTAAATAAAATACTTTTAAACGGGTTTAAACGCGAAATGTATTAGTTTAATTAATAAAACCTTTGTATTTGTCTCTATCTAAAATTGTAAATAAGTTAACTAATACAATTCGCGTTTTAAATCGTGAAAAATGTTTTATTTAAATTTAGGTATTTTTATTGATTTCTCCAACTCAATATATAAATAGTACAGATATTTTTTCTAAAAATCGTACATTATTTTTTCCTTAAGATATATCCATGCCGCTCCCTCGCTGCTGTTACGAATGAAATGTTGCTGCAGCGCCAATTATTACTGACCAGCGCAGGATTTTAAGATCCAATAGTCAATTACTGTAGAATTACTAGGTGTAGTGCACGTCAAGAGAGATATACGTAAATCCATTAATGCTTAGTTGCGGCCATGGCTTGTATAGTACTTTTCTCAAATATACTCGGAAATTAAAACTTACAAGTACCATTTAGAATTTAACCAATGACAAAGTTGACGAACAACTAATAAAAATAGTTTTTTACGCGCCAAAGTATTTTTCTTCTAAACAGCTTTCTATGTCAGGCCAGTTCGAAATTTAAATTAAACCTTTTATCAGTTACCTCTTTGGTCGCCATGTTGCGGAGGAGATCGTTCCATTTTTTAATTACACGACAAATAGGGTTTTCATAGTAATTTATTTGCAGTGCAGCAAGTTCGATTTATCTCGAAAAAGTATGTCGAAATAATGCTCAAATTTCCAAGCACACAAAATAATCTTATAAGAAATTATCCTTATTTCTGGCCAAAGTAAAAGGGAGAACAATAAAGCTATACAGTCGATACATTTGTTATTTTCTATTACATCAAACTCCATTGGCCGAAAACCTCCGCAAACTTCCTTTGATAACAAACCTCTTAAAATAGATAACAAATATCGTTTCATCTCGTCCGATCGGCCCTCGCATTGCTTGAAGTTGGAACATTGTATTCCAGCTTTAAAAGCTATTGCACTGACCTACATCCAGCTTAATAGCCCGGATGCTGTAAACAACAATAAGGAAGAGCCAATTAATACTAAGAAATTGGTGAGCCGAGTTACATCAATTTTAGAGTACGTTAAAACAACAATTTTAACATAAATTTAACTGTTTTAACGAGACATAAATTTTTAAAGACACAAATTTGATTCTATATAAACTTTTATTATGACTGAGGGGTTCGACTGCATTATTCCTTTTCTAGTTTATTGTAGATGATTTTTTTATTTGAAAAAGTGTGGTCAGCGGGGACTGATACATACAATTGAAACGACTTACTTACTTCTACTTTGAAATTGCTTTGTCCTCACTGACTCTGTACCAGCCTAATAATCCGCTGAATATCTGTAGATTTTGTTTGTTTGTTTGCTTGAACATTCTCATCTTCAAATCCAGTAGTGCCTTTGAACTGCTGGTTTAAATTGAAAAATTGTTTTTGTGTTGTTATTAAAATAAATTAAAAACAATTTACCTACTACAATATTTCGCGTTTTAAACCGTTAATTTTGATTTATATATTTAATTAATTCCCAATTGTATTTAAAATCTCTATTAATATTACTCACAATAGCTAACCTATAAAATACAAGAAATTTTCACAAAGTCAATTAACATTAGTATTTTAAAATTGATGTATTTTTTTCGTTAAATCTCGCCGGCGTACTGTTTAATATATGAAACCACGTGACATTACCACAAGATTGTATAAAACCACATTTCATCCACACTGTAAAGGCATTGTTGACTTAATCAAACTATAATCCATGGTACTTACAAAGTTTTTTAAGCCTCTATAATCTTCAGCTTAAGGAGCGTAGAAATAGTGGGAAATGTGGAAAAGACGGGGAAATTATTCAACTTACGGGTTTCTGTCGCATACGCCGTGAAAACGACTCAAGATATTTCGTTAAATGATCTAAAAAAATCTCTCTATCTGTGAAGATTAACTTGCAAGAACGTCGGGACGCATACGATATAAGAACTATTGGATTGTTCGGAAAGTCATTTCGTTTTTTTTTTGGAACATGAAAGACAGTTTTCGTATAATTAATAAATATTTTATTAAATTATATATTGGCCATTCTGATCCAACACCTTTTGCCATCTCGTGTGGTTATTCGCCGATTTGCATCAACTAATGCCTTTATCGCATCTTTGTCAGCTTCGACCGGCCTTCCAGACCGTGGTGCATCTTCGACATCAAAACTGCCGGATCGAAATTTTGCAAAAAATGACGAAAATGCTGCTTATTGCTCTCCATATTTAAAAGGACACTAACCAAAAACTACTTTGTAGAATTAATAGAACTTTTTCACACACAAGCCTTGCAATGTCAGCTCTCAAGTCATATAATCGTTATGCGGCTTAAGTGTGAAGTTGGTTTCGAAAAAAACGTAATTAAGTCCTTTGACGGGAAAAAACAAAATGACTTTCCGAACAGCCTATTATTAAGATGACGAGGTTCGCAAAAGACATAGCTGACCATTCTAGTATATAATACTGCTTAGGTTAAATATATATATGTACATAATAAGCTATATGTTTAACATGTTTGTCCGCAGTATTTAACAGGGATCGCAACCTCATTATCGATAAACAACGATATCAACATTATGTGACCTAAATTCTGCTCGAACATAGCTTCAGTGCTTTGTTAGCGAAATTAATTGTACCCACATGGTTTTACAAAGGAAATATTTAATTAATAATTACGAGTTAAAGCTATTTCAGTGGGAACTGCGATTAACGTTCTCGTTGAATTTTAACATGCTCTACGAATTGTCTATATCACAGAGTAGGAGATCACAGATACGCGAAAATAAAATATGTATAACTTGCAAGAACGACGGAAAGGGACGCGACCGACGTCGTGGGTAACATCTTAAGTTTATAACGAGGAAAGGGATGCCCAAAGTAACGATTCTCGGGAACGAAGTCGCCGGCACAGCTAGTATAAAATATTGTTATATGTTACTAGCTGTGTGCTAGAACTTCGTTCGCGTAGAATATTGGTCCTTTTTTGGCAATCTGCCTTTTCATCTTTGTAAATTTAAGCTATTAAAAAATTAAAAAATAATCGTAATCTCTACAAATCTGTTTAATTTTTTATTTTCTCGTCGATTTAATAAAAGAATTCGTTACTTTACATAAAGCAAATAGTATTTGCCTTATTTATCTTTGCAAAATGAAATCAGAAATTAAACATAATTGTTATTTGATACTACATCTTCTTGTTGGACAAGAACGTAACCCTCGAATGTTCGAAGTCAAGAAATTATTCGGATCTCCGTTCCCACGTTGGCGGTTGCCTCGGGTGACAATCAGTGATATGCCCGGCTCTGACTACAAATTGACGCAACCTAGTCCCAGGGGAAACAGCTGGACACATTTAGTATTGCAAGAACCAAGTATTCCTCCAATTACAACGAAGACAGAATTACGTTCGCTTCCTTTTAAATTGCAAATTTGTTTAGCAAAAGTGGCTTCACAAGATTGATATATTTAAATAAAACATTATAATGGTTTAAAAAGCGATATATTACTAAACTAATATATCGCGTTTTAAACCGGTTAATTATTTCATTTAAATGTGTAATACTCGCGTAAACTATAGACAGTATTTAAGTTTGATATAGATTACAGTGTATATAATTTAATAATCTTGTTACATAATGTAAGACAATCATCTCAAGATAAAATAAAATGAAACGTATATGATAAAACTAGAAAATTTGACGGCCTCGTTGGTCTAATCATAGCAATGTATGGCTAATGACCAACGGGGCGTGGGGTCGGCCCCCCCCCAACCCCCAAATTTTTCCTTTTTTTCTTTTTTTTTTTTTTTTATTTTTTTTTGGAAATTGGTTTTTTAAATGGGGGGGGGGAAAAAAAAAAACCCCCCCCCCCCCCCCCCCCCCCGGGGGGAAGGGGGGGGGGGCATTCCGGTGGGGGGGGGGGGGGGTGCGGGGGGCCCCCCCCCAAAAAGGGGGCCGCCCCCTTTTTTTTTTTTTTTTTTTTTTCACCCCCGCCTGTTGTTCTCCTTTGTCATAGATTTTTTCCTATAATTTCAATAATATTAAAATTAATATATATTTTTAAAAATTTTCCTAAAAGAAATTAGTTTATCACGACATTTTTAATTTTGGCCTGAAACGCCAATCACTGTGCGTGACGTCATTCGTGGGCAATCATTGTGCACCATTTCCTGCGAACTGCGGATATCGCATATGACGACATATGACGTCACGCACTGACGACTCGACTTGTTGTTTCGGCGGCATTTGTATACAAACAATATGAAAATAGAACATAGTTTTAAGTTTTCAAATGAAGCTGAAACCTTAATACGTCGGCAGCACATTTTGTCTAAATGTCATATGGCTACTGTCTATAGTTTACGCGAGTAGTACACATTTAAATAAAACACTTTAACGGTTTAAAACGCGATATATTAGTTAAACTTATTTGAAAATGATTTTTAACTTTGGCCCGACGTTTCGGATGCTTTGCAGCAGCCGTGGTCACGGGGAGACCCGTGAGATGTCATATGGCTGGCATATTTAACTACATCTACACCAAAACGCACAAAATATTACCAAGTACTCATTCAAATACAAATTTTCTCTTGAAACAATGACTTAGATAATTTTTACAGATTCAGCTTCTGAAGCAATGTTCGAAATATCTATACTTCTATAATAATATTAAATTGGAAAGTAACTCTGTCTGTCTGTCCAGCTTTAACTCCGAAAATACTGAACTGATTTAAATGAAATTTGATACACACGTATTTTAGAGCTGAAGAAAGGACATAGGCAACTTTGTAATGCCAAATAATGGTTAAGGGGAAAAAGGGGGTGAAAGTTGTGAAAGTGTATGATAATTCGTGGTTTTTGAAGCTAGAACAATTAAACTTTCTTCTTTGTCTTTTTGGGAATAGGAGTGGGAGTGGGAGTTAGAGTAGAAGTGATGGGAGGTGAGACTGTTGCGGCAAAGTAGCACAATACAACATAGATTGGCTGCCTTAAATGCGCCCTTACATAAATAATAATCAGCCTAAATAATTAAAAATTCTACCCCAAGTCACACGAAGTCACGGGCATAGCTAGTATTCTTATATTTACAATCTAGGTCATATTCTAACGAGAACCTAACTGATACGAATTCTAGGTATTCTAGGTACAGTGAAACCGACACAATTTAGTGTTACACTGTGATTCGTAGGAGGATATCAATCATTTATCAATCGCACGATTCCAACGGTTCGTCTGTAAGCGCTCATATTTGTTTTACAACTGCTCGTAAAGCCATGGAAATTAAACAATTAGTTTATAACAGTTTAAAACGCAAATATATTTTAATAGTTAATTCATCTACCCCTGTGAGTAAAATATGACGGACCAGTTGCTGCTATGTGCATTGCTAATTAATGGTTCGTGAATTCGATTCCCGCCGGATGCTGCATTTTCCTTATAATTAATTTACAACCCAGTTAGTTAGTCAGGAATATCAGATCCGCGTCACAAACAACCAACAAAGTCAACGACAAAACAAATCCGTTGTGGACCTCTTTTGGCGTTGGGTATTCGTAAAAACCGAGGGCAAGACACACGATTATACTAGGCTGTTTTTTATCTTTGGACGGTAGATCGTGACTAGGACGGAATTTCGATAGTCCTACCCATCTATCGATATCTAGACGAAATCTGACATGTTTTTAGAAATAATATAAATAGGCTACAAAACATCGTGCTGTGACTAATAGACGTGACCCGGGAAATGTGGAAAAAACGGGGAAATTATTTATCTTTATGTGTTACCGATTTCGTTAAGGGCAAAAACCGTTTAATATACACAAAAATTATGTATTGATGGATAATTCGTCTGTACATGAAATCTAAAAAATTCCGCGACACTATGAGTCTATATTTTATGGTTAATTTGCAAAAACGACGGGACACGACGTCGGCACATCTCGCCAGTAACAGCTATAATCGGATGACCTAGCCAGTGTGCTAGCCAGTAAAAAATATTAAAGTTTTCAAACGAGCCGTTCCCTGCATAACAATCAACTTTAATTACAAACTAAATCCGATCCCGCTAATATTATTCGAAGAATTGGAGTTAGAAACTAACTTCGCCCAGTCCTCAATCTGAATGCGAGGTGCGCGACTTGGATTCAATTAGGGACCCGATTGGGTTTGACAAGTTGTTAGTTGGCTGCGGTTCCTGCTGCCGCTTTGTTCTCGCTATTAATAGGCAGACGTTTGCGTTGACGATATTTCGGATGTAGGCAACTTCGGTGTTTATGAGGAGGACAGACCAGCAACGGATAAAGAAGATGCGCCGTCGACCTTTTTGCCATTAGTTATTGCACACTCACAGGCTGAAATCGAAACGCGATTAAACTTGGATTTTTCATCTGTAGATGGTGGTTGAGCCGGACGGATGTTTGATATTTCTAACACTCGTTTAATATCCAGATTTCCATATCAAAGAAGTCCAACATGCCTGAAAGAAATTGATTGAAGCATGTTGGATCCGGAATCGAACCCACGATCCATTAATTATTAGGCATATATTGGTACCATTACCCCAACGCGCACGTCAAAAAAGGTGTTATAAAAATTAAGAATTTAGATTGAAAAGAAGACCCATCATCATCATCAGTGCTTACAGCCCCTCGGGCCCTAGCCTCCTCTTGTTTCCGCCATTGCGATCTGTCTCGTGCTTCCTGCTTCCAGTTTTGGACGCCCAAGATTTCCAGGTCCTTGGCGACTCCATCCCACCAGCGGAGCCTCGGTCTCCCGGGCTTTCATTTCCCACCTGGTTGCGAGTTTAGCAAGGACCTTGGTACTCTTTCATCCGCCATTCTGTGTACATGTCCCAAAGATGTCGAAAAGATGACTAGGGCGGGATTTACTCCGGTATACACAGCGATCCGTGCGTGATCTGACCACTTGAATGTGTCTTATTGATTTCCTCGCTTTGATTTTAATTTTTAAAACTTTCAATAGCCTCAATCTTTTGTAATTTAATTATTAAGAGAGAGAAATAAACAAAAACAAAAATAAACAATTTTTATGATGTCATATACATTATTTGAAAATAACATATGGCAATAAAAACGTTTTCAAACTTCATTGCACTTTTTCATTGTCAACGTTAAAAAAGTGAGCACAGTTGTTTAAATTAAATTAACTATAATTTTAAGCAATCAACTTGAAACGGAAATCCGAAATATGCCAATGTCCTTTTCGTAGTCACGACTAATGTAAGACAACTGAAGCATTTTTGAGTAAAATAAGATTTCGCGTTTTGAACAGTTAAAATTATTTTATTTACACGTAGAGAGTATGAAATTTTGTTTCCCTGACATGAGGCGTAAGGATAACTCGTTATATAAAGTTAAACTTCTTTTGCATTGCCCTCGGCTTTCATGTTTCCCCGGAATTTGAATCCAGGATTTCTCGGATAACACAATGCCAGACGTTTTAAGATTTAATATAATTTCAAATTCCAGCTGAATAAATCACAATTTAATGAAATATAATCGATGGATTTGACAAAAAAAAAACTAATATTATAGATTATAAATGAAATAAAAATGAAATTGATACCCACAAAATATTATCTGCGTAATGAATACAAAATGTAATGACTAGCTAGACAGCCTCTGTAGCCAAATGGTTAACGCTATCCTGGGTTCGAATCCCAGGAAACAAAAAAATTGTTTCGGTCGGGCAGGGCACAGAAGTCTGATCAACTACTTGCCTGTTAAAGAACGGATCCGTGAAACGGACACAGAAATGTCGCCCCACGCCCCACGAGGGGAAACGGGATTACACACAAAAAAAAATCACTAGCTACCGTTACTTTTAAATTCATCCAGACGTAACCGTATATTTCTTCATACAGTTTTATTGAAGATCCATGATACATTTTAAATCGAAGTTGGTGGGGAATAAATTAATTTTGAATTCCAAGATTTATAATTTCTGCAGGCTTGCTATAAGAGGCTATCTATGAACCGCAGTCGTGTGAAAAAAGTAATAAATGGTTTTGCTAATTATCTATATGAATGAAATTTATCATTAAAACATAAAATCTTGGCACTTAGTGTTAAGAAATAAAATGGTGGTTCTGGAGGTGCTCAAAACAGCGTGTTGGTATTTTTAGGTTTTTCTCGGAAATGTTTTTAATTACACCTAAAGGGATTTATTAATTAAAGGAAAGTTGAGTGTTGCAGAGGATGTCGAGGGTTGAAAGTGCTTTTTCTTTTTACTCACGTTTCTCACGTTCTCAGCGAATTTAAATCGTACAATATTTTAAAATATCATTAATACTATTTCATTTATTTATTATGTGATTCTGGCTTTCAAGGGATACAAAAAAGTAAAATACAAATAATGTATTATAATACTTACAACAAAAATAATTAATAAAATTACAATTAAAAAAACAGTATACAGATACTGTTTATTCATAAAACGAAAG